AGTGGGGCACAGCAGCTTGAACCAGCAGGTTCTGCCCCAGGTGTGAGCACACTGACTCACTGAGATGCCTTTTTGTGGGGGAGGAAAGGCAAGCTGTTGCTCAGATATTTCCAAATAACTCTGCCATTTGACCCTGATATCATATTATCCAATACAGCCAAGGAAGAAGGAGCTCAGCTGTCTTGTAAGTAGTTTCATTTCTGCTGGTCACTAAACATAACAGGGAAATGAAACCAAAAGACCCAACATGTTACATTGTTATTTCCAGGACTATCACAAAGCTGTCTCCTTAAATTTCACATTTGCCTGACAAAGCCCCTCCAAGGCCTTTGATGGAGACAGTTTTGTAAAGTCAGAATTATGTTTTGAGGTGACAGCTGTAACAGATTCAGAATTGCCTTTGATAAATGCATTTGCTGCATTAGTGCTAAACATCCTAAGGCTCCACAGTGATTAATTAATCATTCACAATTCACTAAAAGTTCAGCAATAATTAAACTTAGCTGGATATAATAATTAAGCTGGATATCATCTGCTGAAGGCTGAGCTGGTGTACAGAGGTGTGGCTGCTCTTCTGAGAGGCTTCAGTGAGAAGAGGACTGAGAGATTTTTACAAGGACAGGAAGTAGTAGGACAAGGGAGGGATGGCTTTAAATTGAAAGAAAGTAGGTTTAGATTGGATATTAGGAAGAAATTCTCCCCTGTGAGGGTGGACAGGCCTTGGCACAGGTTGCCCAGAGCAGCTGTAGCTGATTTTGGACCCCTGGAAGTACCCAAGGCCAGGTTGAACAGGGCTTGGAACCTGAAACAGTGGAAAGTGTCCTTGGCCATGGCAGAGGGGTGGAACAAGATCATCTTTATGTCCTTCCAACCCAAACCATTCTAGGATTCTCTATTTCTCTGAACTTCTAGCTGTGAGGTCCGCCCCTTCTCCGTGGACACATTTCATGTGTTAGGATATCCATGTCCTAAACTGAGCCAGGTGCAAAGTAAGCAAGTGGTGCCCACTCGTGGCAGCTAAGGTCTTTTGAAACAGCCTGGTCATTTCCACAAAAGCCAAATATTTCTCCTGTGAGAATTACTTTCATTTCTGCTCCTTCTTGTCATAATGGGAAGGTGGAGCCTACAAATAAAAAGCAGCTGAAGAAGTTTCAGGAAGTCACTGCTTCTCCTTTCCACAGGACACTTACAAGGGTAAGTTTCTCCCTTCTTTTAAAAAGAGTAGTGCAAATTTTTACTGTTATCTTCATTCCTTTTAATGTGTCAAGGCTGCAGAAAGTGTCTAGAGTAAGTGTGATTAAACAGGGTTGCCAGGAGCAGGATTTTTTTTTGCTTTCTGGGGTGGAAAAAAATAAAAAAGAAAATATGTCAGTATTATTTCCTCTTTAAAAGGAGACAACTGAGAGAAGGCATTTAATTTTTTTTAAGCCATTATTCAGCAAGATGATCTATCCAGCACTATTTATGAGTAGGATCATAAGGTTTGCATTGCTTCATTCTCTTTTTGAAAAGACAGCTGGAGTTAAAAAACATACAACACAGGAACCGTGAGGTTTACCCAAATATCCTGAGGTCACACGATGTGTCAGCCAGAAATCCATGTGCTCCTTTGGCTGGACAGAGAGTGAATAAATCCAGGAGCTGTGTGGATCAGCACTGCAGCTCTGCACCTTGGGTTTGAGAGGGGATTTTTTTAGAAGGGGCTTTTCATCTTCTACAGATGCAAAGCTAAAGAGAAAACAGAAAAACACCCACAGGAACTCCACTTTAGAACCATCGGCAGGTTGGTGTTTGTGCAGATGTGGGTGTGCAGCAGAGTGCTTCGTGTTGTGCTGGGAATTGGCCTCACACAGACAAATTCTAAAGGTGAAGCTGAAGGAAATCAGTATTATCCCAACAAAGGCGAGAGGTCCAGCTCTGGTGAGAGGAAATTTTTGGCAGACTTTCAGTATCATCACGTCATGCAAATGTCATGTTTCACATGTGGCTTCTGGCCCATTGGAGAAGAGCTCTTTATAATTGCAGCTTTTTTGTTTTCCTCTCCTCCTTTCTTCCATCCCATGTTGTCTCGGCTCGGTACACAAAGAAATCGCTGTGCCCGTGTGGCACAGGGGAGGGTACAGAACCCACCCTGCAGGTCCCTTGGCTCTGCACCCTCTGGTCTGCTCCCCATCTCCATGTTTCTAAAGGGTGACCAAAGATAATCGGGTCTCCCCAGCATCCTCAGCCTTCCCCACATCCCTTCCACCTCTGTGATTGCCATGGGGTTTGTCTTGAATAAACACACCAGGTGGGTATTGCAGGATGGCTGGATGTTTGCATCATTAATTCATTCCAGAGTTCAGGAACTGAGATGTTTGCAATGGACTTTGGTGTACACTGGCCACAAAAAAAAAAAAATAAAATGCTGCTGGAGGCTGGGCCAACAGAGCAAACTGGTGTCACGAAGCTGCAAAAAGTTTCTGGGTTGATTTTTCCCCATTCCCTTCTCTCCCCACCCCCACCAGGGATGCCCACAAGCTCCAGTGCTTTTGGACAGGTGTTAAAATACCCAAGGTCCACCTAAATACAAACATAAAATCCTAAAGTAGCTCCAGAGGTGCTTTTTTTGTTTGTAATGGTGAATTCTGCAAGGCCAAAGACTGAAAATCTGTACATTTCTACCTGAACCTGCTCATATTGTAACCCTTTAGACATGGACTGATGAATAAATCTGGAGATAAAGTGGAGCAGCTTGCACCAAAACTGCTCTGAGAAGTTTTGGAAGCAAGGGGATCTCACTTGTGACTCAGCAGAAGGACCATGACCTGATAATAATCCATTGTAATAGATAATAGAGTTGTTGTTTTGATATTGCACTGGCAATATTTACATACTGTACTAGCAGTAAACCTAATTATAAATGCTCACACAGTCACTGTGTCCAGTTTCTCATGCCTGGCCCACAACCCCCTGTCAACTGCTCTGCTATAATGTGTGTTTTTTTCTAAACTTGTTTTACACATTGAAAACAAGTTGTATCAGGTCGTCCTATTTCGGCATCTTTTTAAATTAGAAAGCCTGTAAACTTAATTCAACCAAAAAATACAGAACAGGAAGTTATTTAAAGGAAATATGTGATTCTCCTGATTTGTTTTCCAAAGTGCTTGAGTTAAACAGATCCTGGTTTTGGCAGAGGGAGGCTAAAAAATCTAGCTTTGAAAAAGGACTCTTGAGGTTTTTTTTCCTTAAATCACTTTCTCTGGAAATTGCCTTCCTGGATAATATCACAACAAAAGCCACTAATTTCCTCAGTCACTCATAGAAAACAAAATTTTCCATAAGGAAATGCTGAACAAGGAAATAAAAAGCCTCCTAGTCCTCCCTTCTCTAACATCACGTGAAGAAAAGTCTGCTTTTGGCAGAGGATTTTAAACTATAGAGGAGGGGACCAAGATACAGAGATTAGAAAAGAGATGTCAGACTTGCCTCTGACAAGTATTTCTCCCACAGAAGAGGTGAGAAGGGCACTAAGGCACTGTCTACACAGCCCTACACTTCTGACCCCAGGAATTTAAGGATTCACATTCCCTCCAATCCTGCCCTGATACTGACTGAACTTCTCCAAACACCTTTCAGCAACATTTTTCACTGAGGAGAATTGGCTTTTTCCAAAACCTGGTGTAGCTTTTTTTTTTTTTTTTCCCAAAACAAAAATACTGGTTTTTCCTGTGGCATTTTTTTTTAAATATCAAAAACTAAAAGCATAAGAGAGGTAGGGAGAAGTGTTTCAAGTCTATCCTCTGGAGAGCAATTTTAGTGATTTGAAAAGAGCTGTGGCACTTGGTACCTACCAAGGGTTTGGATAAGGAAACAAAAGAAGTGTTTGATTTTCTCTGCTCTGATCATTCTTGCCAGGTGGAGTCACTCACTTCCTCCTGTTTGGTTTCAGAAGCTGCACCTCAGAGTGGTTGGACCAGGCAGTGATTAATATTTAGTGAAGCACCATGGACAAGATACGTTCAAGCCCAATAAATCAGCAGACCATGGATAAAAAGAAGGCAGCATTCAAACAACCTTCTGAAAGAAACAACAATCCCCTAAAGAAAGAGGGGGGGTTTGTGTTTTCTTTTGTAAAGCCATTTCCAGAAGCTGCTACAACTCCTCTCCCACCAGAGGATCCAGAAGAAGATCTTGAGCTGTCAGAGAAGCTGTTTGAGAGCAAACCTAACGATGACCAGGACTTGGAGAAAGAGTTTTCCAGAGAAGAGGGCACAGTAAGTCAAGGGGAGGGCACAAATCCTCCCCACTTTTACTCTGTTCTTTCACTTTGTGTTCCAAAATTAATTCCTTTGTCTCTTTGTGCAATCTGCATCTGTTAGGTTTAACGACAACTTTTGGCATGAGGCCTAGCAATTATTCATGTAAGTAGCAAGAGAAGTATCTGCAATTAATATGCAGACATTAATAATGCAGGTCTAAAAAAAGAGATAGCTTCAGCCTAAAAGCCAATTTAATGTGTAACATGTGTCTGTTTCAATCCTAGCAACAAAAGTTGAACAGAAATCATAAAAGCTGAGTTTTTTGTTTTTTTTTCTTGAGGCTCCTTAACCCTTAACAGAAATGCACAGCAAGTTTTATTATAACCTGCTTGGATATTTAACACTGAACACAGGTTGGTTCTATGTCTGTGACACAGTTATTGAAGTTTTTTGAGAATTTACTAGCTATTAAGCATTTTAGTGAAGAGAGTGAGCAGGGGTTACCAAAAAGGGTTTAAAATCCTTGCCTCCAGTAATATATGCTGCCTTCTTCATCTTGAACCAAAAAATCTGCTTTGTTTGAGTGCATCTGATCCATAGGCATACTTCTGGAGGTATTTTTCTTGGATAAAAGTGATGGAGAGAAACTTCAATTTTTCTTTTCAAAAAATCAGGTTTGAATATGCCTGGCCCAATATGTCTGAAACATATTGGTGTTCCCAAAATTGCATCTCTAACTGCAGCAGTCAGGCTGGAACATTGAGAGAGGAACAGGGAAAAGAGACCAAGTTGATCTTTATATACTTTAGCTGAGCATATTTAACAGCCAGACGGACCAGTTTTGCCAAAGACTGGAAATTATTTGTTTTGTTTTCACGTAAATGAAAAGCCTGTGTTAATATCTGGACCTGTGTCAAACGCAGAAAATGACAATAATCATTTAAAACAACCCACTCATATTCATGCCTTATGGGAGCCTAAAATTAGGCAAAGAAGAAAGAGCCATGATGATCTAAAAGATTTCAACCACCTGTTAAGAATGTTACAGCAGAACTCTTTAGGTGCCTGTGCACAAACTAAATCTTCAAACTCCAAAACAAAGATCTAATAAGCTATTTTTTACCAAATTCAGTGATTTCTGGGAGCAGTCTTCATTTGCATACACATGCTTCAGTACATCTGTGGATGAGTGGAAGAAAATGGCAGTTATTGAAAAAACTGTTATTAAAAAAATTAACAAAGCACACTTAGTAATGTGTTCTTTATCTTTTCAGGATGGCTTCCAAAGTTTGTTATTTTTATTAAGGATGGTCTGTGAGCCAACTTCAACTGTTTCTTTCATATTTACAGACACCTGTTTATTACATGGAGATGGAAGGGTGCACAGTGATATGAAGTAGAGCTTGATGCCAGTAAACAATTTTACTAAAGACCGACGAATAGAAAACGCATCTCTTTTCTTTTTTTTTTTTTATTAATTTTTGACTATGGAAAATTCATTCCAAATTTAACTCTTAACAGGATGCAGAGCACACCTTGTACAACAAATATGAGGAGAAGATCCGACCCTGCATTGATCTTGTGGACAGCCTGAGAGCTCTTGGAATAGAAAAGGACCTGTCCTTGCCTGCAATTGCAGTAATTGGAGACCAGAGCTCTGGGAAAAGTTCTGTCCTCGAGGCCCTGTCTGGTGTTGCTCTCCCCAGGGGCAATGGTAAGAATTCACTTTCTCACATTTTCTCTTTGATAAGGTGGAAGGGATTTTTTTTCTTTTTTTCTTTTTTTTTTTTNTTTTTTTTTTTTCTTCTTTTTTTGTTTGGTCTAGAATTGGATAACCCCATGACTGAGGCACCACAAGCTAAATCCAAGGCACATGTTCCAGGTGGTCAAGAGACCAGGAGTAAGAAGTGTAATGTGATTACCCAACTGACTCTGTACATTTCCCAGAAAGCAGCAGTGCAGCAGAGTATTAATTTCACATGGAAAACCAGTTTTTAAATTTGCTTTTGGGATTGCCTTGAGTTTTTTAAACTGCATTTTCTTACAGATATCTTTTATTATTATGTGTAAAAAGCGTACAAATATCTTTACTTAAAGCGTAAGTCAGAGATGGTGGTTGAAAGACTTTACAGCTCAAGAAAATCCACTTTCCAGTTCTGTGTGTGTATTTTTACACACATAAATTCTGCAAGTTCCATGTGAATTTACCTAGTGAATATAATCTAGTCTTCCAGGCTGGAGTTGTGGATAGGTTTTTCATAGGATTAATTGCAGCTCTGAAACAGATCATCCAGAGAGGAGCAGAACTCCATCTGTGGAGGTTTGCAGGGCCAGACATGTCTGGGAAGAGCCATGGTTGACCTCATCTCATGACTGTCCTGCTCTGAGCAGGAAGCTGGACAAGTCCCCTCTGGCAGCGTCTCTTGGAACATTTCCACATTTTTGTGTGACACAGGCAACACTCTGTTCACCACACACCTCAAGGCCGTGTTTCATGCACAACCTCTGCCTTTGGAACTGCTGCAGGTATTGTCACTCGGTGTCCCCTGGAACTTAAACTGAGGAGGTTGCCTGAAGGGCAGGCATGGCAAGGGAAGATCTCCTACCGAAATGTAACCCTGGATCTCCAGCACGCCTCTGAGGTGGACAGAGCAATAAGGCAAGGTGAGTGGATTTGGCTGGCTCCATCTCCTCTGAATCCTCCTCTTGGACTGAACAGCATCCACGGTGATTGTGGAGAAACATCAAGAGCTGGAATCAGAGCAGAAGCAAAACTCACTTTTGCTGGGTCAGCAAAACTCACTTCTCTCAAGGGAGCTGTACCAGTGCTTCTGTGGTGAAGATGATTTATGACGATGATCCCAGAATGGCCTAGATGGGAAAGGACCTTAAAGGTCTCCAAGTTCCAACACCTCGGGCAGGGATGCCACCCACTAGATCCATGATCCTTTTATCCTGATCCATGGTAAAGGCACAGGCTGTGTCCTTACCTGAGTGGTGGCTTCCTGGTTTGGGGATGTTGTCTGTCAAATTGTAAACATGGAGCCTAAATGGTTCCTGTCATGAGTTCAAAAGCCCAGAGAGTGCTTGAAGTGTCTCTGGCTGGAAATCTTATTATTTTGGAGGAAATTGCAAGAAGACAGAGTGCAGAACAGAGAGCTTCTGTCAGGTACTGTGGCCACAGGCTCAGTCTCTGCCTTCACATGTCTCAGCTTTACTGTTATGGCATTTCATGCTGGGTAAGGAATCAGTGTTTCTACCCAAAGGGCAGCAAGCACTTGCCCAAAATGTGAAAGTTGGATTGTCCTTACTTTCTTGACTAGCACAGCTCTGCAAATTGTTATTATTTATATTTTTTTTAATCAGCTTTTCAACACATTATTTGGATATTCTCAAAACTGGCCAGCAATTGCTATGAATTAAGGTAATTAAAGAGCTGAAAATCTCTGATGAAAATGAGTGGGGTATCCTTGTTTCTCTGTGCTCACAATTCAAGCATTATTGCCTTGTAGTATCTGGGACAATTTACTCTCAATCTCCCTATCAAAATGTGAAGAATATAGAACACCACCTATATTTCTTTCACGACATCCAATGATTAGTTAATGCTTACAAAGTCTCTTGCTGTTGAGGAAGCATTTCTACAACTGACCAGTGTTTTACCTGATCCCTTTCATTGTGGTTTATTTATATGCATTTTGTCTTCATACACAAGAGTCCCTAAATAAAAGCTCTGTAAAAAAGCTCTGTAAAATATCACAGCTCATATTCCAACAGGACTTCACATCAACTTCTTCTGGATGATATTTTCCTTAGATTTTTGCATAAGTGGATTTAAGTGTGTGGCTGGATCTGAAAGAAAACGCCAAGCCTGAAAGAAGCTTAGGTGGTAGCTGGTACATTTCAAAGTCATTGTGTTCAGCTTTGGTTTGATGCATCATTTGAAACTTGTATCCATTGCCTTGCTCTTTTCACAGCCCAGGATATTGTGGCTGGTCCTAGAAGTGCCATTAGCGGGCAATTAATTTCCCTGGAAATTCGGTCCCCTGATGTCCCAGATCTGACACTAATTGATCTTCCTGGAATTGCCAGAGTGGCCGTGGGGGACCAGCCAAAAGACATTGGGGACCAGGTAAGCTCAGCCTCATGTGCCAATCTGTGCCCAGGGGCTCATCCCTTCAGGGCTCCCAGCGGCCTTTCTGTGAAGCAAACAGAGTAAGTGGAGAGTGTGAGAACCCCGGGCTTGCTCTGGGGTCTTGTGTGGTGGAAAAGTCTCTCCTCCAAGCCGTGCTTCCAAAGAAAAACTCCACAGCCTCTTGTTGTTCGGTCTCAAGGCAGTTTATTGTGAGTTATCTAAAAGATTTTCTTCTCAGGCTGTGGCTGCTTGGTCAGCAGCCCAGACAGAGGCACACACACACCCTGACATCCTCTCTGTCTGCTGTCTTCTTCTTCTCTCCCCCGCCCAGGGCTGCTGCTATCTTTTATATGATATATTACGTATTACATGTTTACAGTTTTTCCCCAATACCTACTACCTATATTACAAAGTGCTTTTCTACTCTAAACCAATCTGTGCGTGCCAACATCACCAAGAACATGGAGGCAAGGAAGAAGAAGGAGGAAGAACAGGATCAGCCCACTTTCATCCATCTTAGAACTTCTGACCCCCATGTACAAAGTGAAAACCCCCTGTACAGGTGCTAAAACCCCCCTGCACAATGCTAAATTTTTTTTCCCTCTGTTTTGTAGCTACTTTTACTATACTATCTAACCCTTTGTGACTGTTTGTTCCACCTTCAAAGTTGGTAACTCATTCCATGGCTCAAACTCAAAATCACAGCTGATTCCAGCTGCCTGCCAGGGTTTAAAATGCTTCTGACCAAGGCCTGGAACCTCTAAAAATGTCTGAGAGACATTTTGAGTTCCAACAGAGAGGATCTCTGCTCTTCCTCTATCTGTTTTAGGAAGAAATGCTGGGGAATGCAAATAAAACTCTGCTAGGATAAGGCCTGCTGTGAGGGTGATGTGCAGGAGCTAGGTGTGTTCTTTCTCCTAAAATACCTTTAAATGGGAACTTGGAATAAGAGGAGCCCAAACTAAATTAGATAGACCAAATAGAAATGAGACAAGGTTAGATTGTCTGGGCTTTACTTTTTGGGAGGAGAGTAATTTAATTCTACAGTTAGATAGCAATCTTTCTCTTGTATTGAGAAAAAAGCAGCAAATGTGATATAATCCAAACACTTCCAATGTTCCCACCTGTCTGCATGCTCCAAAGGTGGAGTCTGTAGCACTGCAGCCTGTCAGAAACTGGGATGGGTGGGAAGTAGAAAAGAGAGGCATCATTACCAAAATCCAGGGGAAAAAAAAAAAAACTGATTTACTGTGCAATAAGCACAATAGTGCTCTGTGAAGCTTCTACACAATGCAAATTATGAGGAACTCATTTTGTTTGGCATTGAAACATAGAAAAACACCAACTAGATGTCATGTGCATCTCCAGTTTTGGTGCTTTTTAAAATTTTCCTGCAAATATTCCACTGAAAAATAAGCTGAAGACATCTGTGCTCCTTTCAGAGATATATATCTGAGACTTATCAGCATAATCGAGCTTGCTTTCTTTCCATAAGTGTTTACCTGCACACCAGAACCTGATTTTCTTACATGTGTTAGATATCAAATACCTTTAATATTTCTGTACTGAAAGATTATATATGCACAAGAGGTTAAGCTCCATGCAGCTGTCAAGACAGGCTTAACATTAGTCTGGTCTCATTCAGGCCAGATATTTGGATTAATCCTGACATAAGGAAAGGGGTTGCATTCTTCTGCTGGTCCCTTTCCATGCCATCCTCTAGCATGTAAGACTATCCTCAGCACATATAGCATTTAATGTCATCAGGAAATTGCTCATATTGTTAGAAATTGTCACATCCTACAAGCGTCTAATTTCACTGAACCTCCTCACTGCTGTTTTGAATTGCAGATCAAAAGTCTACTTAAAAGAATTATTGGCTGCAAAGAGACAATCAATTTGGTAGTGGTGCCATGCAACGTGGATATTGCAACAACAGAAGCATTGAAAATGGCTCAAGAGGTGGACCCTACTGGACAAAGGACAATAGGTGAGATAATTTTCTAGGCTATGAGCTGAAAAGGAGGTCAAGTATTTATTTTCTCCCTGCCATGAGGTCTGATGGTGTGTGTTCTGTGAAATTAGCTACAAGAAGAAGAGGGGGGAAAAAACAACAGAAAAAAGCCTAAAGAATATATTTGCAAGAATTTCTAGTCACAGTTCTTGAGTAGCTCCAAGAATCCCTTAGTTTGTTGTCTTGCTGGCACTCCTGTTATGAATAACTGAAAGCTGAAAATCTCAGTTAATAGTAGTTGATCTGAAGTTAATGGTAAAAAAGCTTTGCATTAAAAAAAAAAAAAAACTTTAAAGAAAGGTTTGCAATGCAAAAGGCATGGTGGGAGGAACTGCAGAGTGAGTTTTACAGCCTGGGAGCAGAGAACTTTCTAGGAGAGAGAATACCAAAAAAATTTCTTTATAAAACATGGTACAGAGTATTCCTGCTTGGTGGTTAACTTTCTCTTTTAACTTCACAGGAATTCTCACAAAACCCGACCTCGTGGACAGGGGAACTGAAGAGGCTATTGTTAAAATACTGAGGAACAGGGTAATCCCCCTCAAAAAAGGCTACATGATTGTGAAGTGCCGTGGGCAGCAGGACATCCACAACAAACTGACCTTGGCTGCTGCAATCCAACAGGAGAGAATCTTCTTTGAGAATCACAAACATTTCAGGTACTCCTCACAGAAATGTTCTCATCAAAGACATGTTAAAGTCACGTCAAATCTTCTTGTTGATTTGCTGAGATTTAACTGCTTAGGGGTCACAAACAGGTATTAGTTATACTCAATATTTCTCATTGCCCATGTAGGATTGTGTTTCAGTAACCCAGAAGATTTCTACATACTGAATAAACTTTTTTAAATGTTTTGGGGGTTTTTTGGATGCAAAATACACGGGGGAAGGGCTGTAAACTTCAGAAGTTCCAAACAGTCGCAAAGAATTTGAATTAAAGTATCTGAACACTTCAATCAGGCACTGAAGTATTTCTGTTGACTGTAAAACATGGAGGAACAGCACATGAGAAAGGCTGTGCTGAGGACACAGATGAATCAGCAGCAAATAAATCATAATACAGAGAATGTAATACAGAGAACCCTTGTCAGCAGCTGACAAGGGTTGTGAACTTCACATGTGGAGAAATAATAGAACAGAACATTGGTCTGCTGTTAGAATTTGCTTTTTTCAGATTTTTCTCTGTTTCCCTTTGCTCAGTCAGTAGCTGTCAGACAACTCTTGAATAAGCCCAGAGTCCTGGGCTGTTGCCACATCTGCACCAGCACAGCCCAGAGACCCTTTCTTAACCCAAATTGTGTAATAGAATTAGTGAAAACTGAGCAGAACATCAGTGCTGCCTCCTTGCCCTGCCACAGCCTGGCTAACCAAACCCACCTTTTCCTCTTTTTTCACAGGGCTATCATGGAAGAAGGGAAGGCTACTATCCCCTGTCTGGCAGAGAAGCTCACAGATGAGCTTGTGAAACACATTATTGTAAGTAACAGAAGTCCCATACTAAGCTGTTTGTATCAATTATGTAAAAACAAGTTCAACTCTTCAACCTTGGACTGCGGTTGGATTTCATCTTTATGTGCTTAATGATCCTTCAACTCAGTGATCAGAGAACAAACTGAACTGAGAGGCAGAGGTAAAAAGGCCCATGGTCTGTCTTCAGATTTGCCTTTTAACTGCAGATCAACAGTAAAACAATTATTTCATCTATTTGTGGCTCATAATTCCTGCCTTTTCAATGACAGCCATGATATTTCTTTTTGTTTATGAGTGTTGATCATCTGGGTGACAAGTTACTGTTGTCAGCTTACTGAAACAGTGATTTCTATTCCACTGAAAATGTCTTCTAAACATCAAGATGTTCTATTATATTAATATACTTGTGTAAGGGTATTGGGGGTTTTTATTTGTTATAAATATATCTGCATCGTTAAGAGAAGATGCTAAAATACAGGGAACACCTAAATTCAGTCTCAAGTGAGAAAAAAAATATTTCTGTAAATTTACCAAAAATAAGCAACTAAACAGCCATGTTCCATCAGGAATTGAGCAGTCACCACTTTCCTGGCACGGCCTGTGAGGATATTGGCTTTGGTTCACTGTGGGTGAAATTTTGCCCTAGACTGCAGCTGTTCTACCCAGATCTCAGTGAAGTCCAGCCTGATCCCTCAAGGAAATCCTGAGTTCCCTCAATAAAGGCCATATTTGCTTTTCCATGTTATCCCACTGCCACGCATGGGACACTGACAGCCAACTCTTGGATTTGTAAAAACAGCAAAGATCCCCTGCAGGTGTAGATCACTCTTAGAGGGGTTTTGTTTTCCTTCCAAAATCAGACAGGTTCAACCTATCTCAATGTCCTTCGTCACTGTCTCCTCCCCAGAAAACTTTGCCAGCACTGGAGAGCCAAATTCGTGACACCTTCCAGAAAACATTGCAGGAGCTGCAAAGGTACAACAGAGGCACACCTCAAACAGAGTCTGAGAGGCTGTTTTTCCTCACAGATGTAAGTATCAGTATTGGTCACAGAGCAGAGCAAGGAGGTAACTGTGGGAGAAAATAAACCACCTGAAATTATCAAAACTTCAGCATGGACCACTGGGAAGTTTGTGGTATCCATCATTTCAGTGAGGGTAACACAGACAAACCACACCTGCAAAAATAATGGACCACAAGAGCTCATGGCCTCTTCTAAAAATTTTTTCCTGTGATTATGGGACATGAAAACTAAACAACTTGGTTGATTGGGTCAAAATCATGCATCTCAGCAAGGGAAAACAAATTGCTGCATGCTCAGCATTTTGAAGGTTTCCCATTGTTTACACACATAAGATCTAATGTATCCGTGATACCAAAATGTAGTTTGCACATCCATCTAAGTGCCTTATCTCATGGAGTTACGTTCTGAGTAAGTCTTCAGTAGGCTTTAGAGGTATTTATGGAAGATCATCAGACTTCATACAAGTCTGACCTATTAGAATTTAGTAAATGGCTCTAAAAGTCTACAGGGAAAAGAAAAACCAAAAGAGTATAAAGTTTGTTCTCCTCTAGCTGTTACAGTCTGGGGGGAAAAATTAAACAAAAAACAAACAACATACAAACCAGGAGCTAAGAGCACAAAAGATGTAAGAAAGGGATGTTTTTTATGAACTGTGTCCCTGCTTTAATATCAAATAACTGCAGATTTGCTTAAGATCCACAAATTAGTCTGAAGAAATGAAACTTCACTAAACTGCCTGCTTGTTGTTCGATTCACTGCAGTTGATCAAATACTTCAACCAAGACATCTCTCAGAGCACACGGGGAGAGGAGCAGCTCTATGGGGATGAGGTCAGACTGTTCACCAAGGTCCGCAAGGAATTCCGCTCGTGGGGCGTGATCCTCCTGGAGTCTGATGCGAGGGGTAAGCACAAAACAGTCTCAAGCTGTGCCAAGGGAAATACAGGTTGGACATTAGGAAGAAGTTTTTTACAGAATGGGTGATAAAGTTCTGGAATAGCTGCCCAGGGAGGTGGTGGAGTCACCATCCCTGGATGTGTTTAAAAAAGACTGGATGTGGTGCCAGGGTTGAGTTGAGGTGTTGGGACTGGGTTGGACTTGATGATCTTGAAGTTCTCTTCCAACCCTGTGATTCTGTGAATTCTGTGAACCCATCCTGGCAGCTGACCTGAGAGCCCATCCCCTAGCTTTTAAACCCAGACACAGCACCTTCAGTAAATGTTTTCCAAGAAAATTAAGAGCAGGAAGCCAGGAGCATCCATCTGTTGTGGTGTCCTGGGGACACAGACACAGTTTGTTAAATGTTGTCATTACAGAGAGGTCAGTGCTTGTATCTCCTCTCCCAGCACAGCAATAAAATCAAGACACTGGCACAGAATTTGTTGGTGATTTTCTGAACTGTTCTTCTAAGTAACAGCAACATTAATCACAGAATCACAGAATAATGAGGCTGGAAGAGACCTTTAAGACCTCCAACCTATGCCCTAACACCACAACTAGACTATAGCACCAAGTGCTATATGAATAATAATAAATAATAATAATCTAGATAATAATTTTTATTTTTACTCTTAATGTTTTTATTTTATTATTGCTATTAATATTTCAGAATCTGGGTGGGGTTTTTTTCACTTTAGCTCTGGGCTAAGGTGATACCTCATACAAAAAAATTAGCAAATTTGTATAGTATCAACAAAGAAATAGTGACTGTGATATCTTAAATAAAAATAACCAGTCAAAAGTAGATTCCCCAGAAACAGTGTTTAGTGAGCTTGGAGGTTTTTTTTGTTCAGGGTGGGTTTTTTTAAACTTGGAAGTGACTGGTAATGGCCAGCTACTTCTGTGAGGGTAAAAATACCAAGAAGAACCAGAATTTTTGTGGCCCACCATAATTTCTGTCGGTCAGATGCTTGATGCAATGTGTGACATGGCTCATTCAGAGAACAACGTGTTAGCTCTGTTCTGTGGTAACAAAAAATCATCTCAGTAGTTTTTCCTCTCAAGAACAAATCAAAGAGGAGAAATATACTTCCTTCTTAAACCTGAAACGTGTACATTGAGTGATTTAGTAGCAAAGCAATGTTATTTTACCATTACAGCTAAAAAAATGGTCCCTGGTAAAGTGTGGAAATATGAAGACCAGTACCGTGGACGGGAAATCCCAGGCTTCAGCAACTACAGGACTTTTGAGGACATTATAAAAGAGCAGATGAGAGAACTGGAGGAGCCAGCAATTGAGATCCTGAACAATGTGATAAGTATGGCCCAACCCATGGGAGGTTCTTGTGTGGGGGACACTGCTGGGCCTGACAAGTTTATTTTCCAGGAGAAGCTGATGTTCTCACTGATGCTCTCAGGATCCTTCAGAGCGTGGAAATAAATCTGATTCAGCTTGGGGATTGCTGTTACAAATGCTAACAGCATTTGTTAATACTTTTCCCACTGGCTCTTGGAAAGAAATTAGAAAATAACTATAAAAAATAGAAAATAACTATAAAAAATTAGAAAATAGCTATAATAAATAACAAAGCAAGGAAACAGTACAGTAGAAGTACTTGGTGTTAAGTGGTCACACTCTTGAACCTGGAAATCTAAATTTCTACTTGTTTGTATGCATCATAAAGGCAGAGTGCACCAGTACAGCAGCTCAGCTATTTCTGAATGAATACAGAAAATGAGTAGTCTCCCAAATCTCATACTAACAATAGCTTAAAACCCTCACTTACTTACCTGACTGTATTTTGTCTCTCTGTTCTTCCCTTAGAACTGGTTGAAGAGAAATTTATTGAACTCGCTAAAAGGAATTTTGCTAATTTTCACAATCTAAACAGAGCTGCCAAGGTGAGGCACTACTATAACCTGAGATTCTCAAAAGACAGAATGGAATTTGTAAATACATCCATGATTGTGGCACCTTATGCAAGTATGGAATTTCTTGCAGGAAAGTAAGAAAGAGTCTGAAAATGGTGGCATGACTATAATGGCACTAATGAAAGTGCATTTTGCACAACTTTGACAAGATCTAATATCAACATTCTTTATTCATTCTGCCCACATTCTTGACAGTGCAAAGAAAACCTGCTGTGGCTACCTAGAAGATTTTATCATTAATTTCAGATTCAAGTCCTGCAAAGATTTCTCAGAGTGCTCAACTGTTTTCTCCTCTCTGAAAGCAAGCCTGGGTTTTAGCCAGTGCAGGAATCTCATCTTTGATGAAAGGGAGCAGGAGCAGACAAACCAAAAATCATTCAGCCATGAAAAAACTAGAAGATGGCTGTTCACAGTTTGGGCATTTGCATATTTTGGGGTGGATCCCCTTGAAGGACACCACCTATACGTTCAGTGGTGTGGATGTCCTTGAAGGCCTTTTCTCAGAGAGAGCTTGAGGAAAAGATGAGAAACATTGAGGAAAAGATGAGAAGCAATGCTGGCAGCCAGGAAACAGAGTCCACTCACAGGGTACTGCTGAAAAAGGAAACTCAGAGGCAAATGTGAGTGAAATAGGTAGTTTGCTATTTCACTTGCATGGTCAAACCCTCCTGAGCTCCCAGGCCAACCAGACAGTGAACAAATAAATTACTAAAATACAAACACAGAGGTGTTCAGGCAGGGTGTTTAGGTGTAACACAGTGAGAGGAATGAAGAAGGAAGACGTTCTGGCCAACACTGGACATGAGAAAAGGTATGGGGTGTTTTCTTAGGGATGATAGGAAAGCATTTTAAGGGAATTTGAGCATGACTGAGGGAACTTTGCCAGCCTCACAGACTTTTAGGTGGAAGTATCAAAAAGGCCAGAAAGAGTCAGATGGCTGCAGTAAAAGCACCAGACAGAGAGGGGTTAGACAGGGTTGGTTTGCTGACTACAGATATTTTCCTTTGGGTTTCAAGCACCAGGCCTGGACTGATGTGTAAGGAGGGGACAAAACTACCCCTCATGTGTAAGGAGGGAACAAAACTGCCACATTTTTATGCTCTTTCACAAGAGAGAGACCACAATGCAAAGCCTTAATCCATGTTCCCATGTTCTGGGATTAGACAGTGCTGCAAAAGGGCAGTTGAACACTGTGCCCACCTTGTCATTCCCTGGGGATGCTGCTAAGCACTGGCACCTTCCCAAAAGGAGCAAATGTCTCAGAACTTCTTCTTCCTTTCTTTTCTAGATGAAAATTGAAGACATTAGCGAGAAGCAAGCATCGGAGGCTGAAAGACATATCCGGGCACAGTTTAAAATGGAGAGAATCGTGTACTGCCAGGATGACCTTTACATTCATGATTTAAATACTGTTAAGGCACAAAATGCTTTCAACACGTCCTCAGAAAAAGATTTGAAGTCTCTGTTTGCTCCAAAGGACTCCTCTTTTGCCGTGGAGATGGCTTCTCAAACCAGTGCCTATTTTTCTGTGAGTTCACAGGCAGATTTTCTGCCCTCTGAATGCCACAGCAAGTCCCCCTCAGCCAGATCTTGCTGGAGTCAATACAGCCTTGCATGCCACGCTAGCACTGTGCAGGGAATAGCCAGGGGGTATCTCAGTGTCTCATTCAGGTAGATGCTCAGCTTCTCTGCAAACTACTTAGAATTTCTGACCAGCGATGAGAGTGTCAGGGCAAAGCTGGGCTGTATCAGCAGGATGCAGGATGCAGGATATGGTGATTAGAAAAGCCTGAAGGTGCCAAAGTGACAGCTGGCTCCTAAAGCACTTGTTAGCTACCTCCCAGTCTGGCTCAGATCATCCTCAAGCCACTCTGCACACTCCTGCAGCCAGCAGAAAGCGGTGTCAGTGGCTTGCAGTCAGATTCTAAACTTCTACAGCAGGAGGAACAATAATAAAACATTACATTAAAATATATCAGCTGTCTGTAGGGATCAGAGTGCATCTGCTCTACTGCAGATAGCACCCTGTAAGTGAAGTCTCTGAAGACAAATGGGGCGTTTTAACTAAGAATCACGTTAAAGAAGGAAAAGAGAACATGCAATATCAAGATTTGCTTTGTTGTAAAACTCCCTCAGAAAGCAACAAGTTCAATATTAATAATTCAGGAAGGTAGGTAGCAGCTCAGTTTGAATTCCAAGAGCAGGCTTTGTGACAAATTCCTGCAATTAAATGGTCAGGCTGCTCAGGCTGATGAAGACAAAACCTTTGGCTTTCATAGAACGAGAAACAAAGCCATAAGTGCATAAGCACGTCCATCCCACCTTGCTACACACTCTGCTATGTTTTATCTGCAGTTAAATATTTTTGTAAATGCCCTGAGACCCATTTTCAACAAAGCACCACAACTCCATGGGACTGACTTGTGCAAGGCCAAATACAACTTGAATGAGATGGAAGTTGTGTCCATGGCCGCCTACACCCTATAGGACCTATGAATGCTATTTTCAAGTTGTACTACAAAAAGAAGGACAGAACCTCTCAATTGCAGCCAGGCACTTAGGTCTAAGTGCTCACCCAGCACCAGGAGGGTGAGCACTTCCAAGCACTTCCCAGAGCTGGGAGAGGTTTAGAACCTCATGTTGCCTTAAAGCACCCCAAACCCTGTGCATTTCCATGGGGAAATGGCCCCACAAGCTCTTCTGGATCAATATGTTTCAGTTTGCATCCATAAATGAACCAGGCAGCTGGTCAGGTCAGAAAGGAGGTTATCTTGTGAGGATATCAATTAATGTAATGCAGGCACAGTCTGGCCTCACTACTGCTGAAGACATTTCCCCTTTAAGGCTAAAGCTTCCTCCAAAGCTGTCTTAAGCTTAAAAGGACGACCACATCAGAAACACCATCTAAATACCACCATCTAAATAATAATCTAATAGAGGAATTTACCAGCTTTAGGAAAAATCATTCTGATTACCTGCATCAAAACATATTGTTAGCATTCAGTGAAGACAGGTGGGACACCAGAAACTGGGCACAAGTTCTGTTTGTCAGGAATATCCTCCTATAACTTGTCCTAGTGACAGCTGACAGAGCTGAGCAGAGAACAATCTGCCTTGGCTTTAGTTTGCTGAGGGAAGAAAAGCAACAGCTGACATCCCCATTACTCTCAATTTTTAAATTTCAGGCACAAAAGACACTGTTTGGAATTTTTTTTTGTTCATAGCATCACTCCCTTCTTGAACAGTAACTCAGGCCAACATTTTAAGACCTTGGAACCACTTTTTTTACCCGATTACCTAAAGACTCTTCATTTTTCAGTTCTTGTTACCAATTTAGTATTTTGCCTTTTTCTTCTTCCATCTCGCAGGAAGCAAGTAAACGGCTCACCAATCAGATACCTCTGATCATCCTGTCTTCTGTCCTTCATGACTTTGGAGAAAATGTGCAGACCTCAATGCTGCAACTTCTGCAAGATAAAGAGAAGGTAAACTTTCTCCTCGATGAGGACTCTGAAGCTGCTAAAACCAGGAATTTCCTCAGCCAAAGAGTTGAGCGTCTCACCAAAGCCCTCCAGTACCTGAGAGAATTCAGCTGCTTGTAATTTCTTTGGTTTTCACTTTTTTTCTCCTCATCTACTAGCATTACTGAAAAATTCCATATAATCCCATAAAAATGTAGTGTCAGCCCAGACTTTTGATACTAATTTCTAGTGTTCAGTTTTTATTTTCCATAATCATATGTGTTGTGGTGTGCTTTTTCTTTAAAATTATGTTTGTTCAGTGTCTGTTCATTTCCCTCCTCCCTCTCCTCCCCAGTTGTCAATCTTCCCAAGTTCTTCCCTAACCCCTCCTCCCCAAGTTGTCAATCCTCCCTTTCCCTGCCCCTTTCCCTAGAACATTCCCTGAAATTCCTTCTAGCCCCTTCCCCTGCTTCCAGAGCATTCCCTGTCCATTTAGTGAGGCTCAACACCCCATTGGTTATTTTGTGTTATTCCACTACGCTGTTTCCCCTGATAGGTTTGTGATATGTTAGTCCCACCCTCAGCTCCTCCCCAGTTCTACCCTCATTGGTTGCTGTTCCTGTTGCCCTGATTCTTAAGATTTTCTAAAGCCTTCTGAGTTTACATTCTTGTAGAGAACTTTCTCACACAACTTTCTGTAAACAACCTATTGTTTACCATTCCTCCATAGAGGTGGAGGAATTTGATGTACTAGTAGTTTATCCAATGTCATTGGAGAGGTGGCACATTCACCCTCCAATCCACTGTCACCTTTGGAAAAGTAGAAATGCTGGAGTCAGAAAATAAACTTCCTCTTTTTCAGCTTTGCAATAGCAGCAGCTCGTGTTGTGCTTTCACGTGTCCTATAGTGACAGTTCCTACACCCGTCCTCCTGAGTTCTGGTATAAAACCTTTGTTCCGCCTCCCAAGAGGGTCTTGGGGCTCACTGAATAAATCCATCTTGTTACACCCCAAGTCCCATGTCGCCTCCGTCTGTCCCCGTGCCAACAACAGGGACAGCAGAGCTCACAGGGGAGCAGGCACCAGTTCTGTTCCCTCGCCACCGCTCGAGGCATCGCGCGGCCGATACAACACATGCAAAGAGCTGCCTTGGCATAAAGAGCTCCACTGGGGTAGTTGTGACTAAATAAACATTATCCCATTTTTGAACATTTCCTTTGTGAACTCTGTGCAACCACTGGAATAATCATTAAAAAGCTAACTCTCTGAGGATTATGTGTTTTGTTGGGTTTTTTTTTCTCTTTTTAATGACGGAAGCTGTATCATTCGCAAACTGTAGAAATCAAATTATCTAGCTTTCCTCAACGAAGCTTAATGCATGACACAGATCTCCCACTTCCCATTGTGGTTTTGGCTTGCTGGGGTTGTTCTCTTTCTTGCCATCACCTAAAACACACCTCTGCAGTGTCACCACTAAGTCTCAGCCCAGGAGGGAGAGAGGAGCACACAGCAGGCACAAAACCCTTCCAGCCTAAAAGGAAAAGAAAGTTTTTTTCCTTTATGTGACTAGTGCATCTGGACACCGCTGGCTCTGTTCAGCCTCCTTTCCCAGCTGTCTGGTTTTCAGAAGGCCAAGAGGCTCTTCCTCAGATGTCTGCAGCATCACCTGAAATTTCAAGAATGATGGGCAACTCACCAGAGGGCAGGATTTGGATGTCCAAAAGGGAAGAAACCTCCCAGGGTGTTAAACATTACAAGGGTGTCTAAGCATGTGTTTTGCTGCCTTTCTCCTTTCCATCCCAGGGCAAGGAGTGTTGCCCTGATTTTTAAAAGTGTTAAGTTTTCTTTTATAGTTCTTTTGTGAAAGTCTTAAAGTTCTCATAAAACTTCTTCAGGTTTTTGATCGGTTTACATATTTCTACTGGAGTTCTCACTCACTGTTCATGTAAATAATTAATGTTTTGCGTTCTTCTTTGTGAGAGAATTGATGGACTGTTGGTTTGACCAGTGTGGCTGGAGAGGTGGTAATTCCACTCTCCAATCCACGGTCACCTGTGGAATTCTATAAATATCAGATGCTCGAATAAACACTCTTTTTTGGCCTTTGAACTTGCCAAGCATTTGTATACTTATTTTGTGTCCAATAGCAACAAAAGGAGAACCTTTCCAAAAGCTTTTTCATTTCATGGAAGCCAATGCAAAATATATCACACACTGTGTTCATGATTTTTCACATGGAAGATTTGGCTTAATAACCAAAGATAATGTCTGCATCCAGCTAGAAAAAATGTGTTTATACCAGCATTTGATGTAGTAATTTCCAGGTTTCTTACAAGAGAAGCCTTCTCCTCGGGCAAGATATGACAGAGAGGATTTGTCCCTGTCATATCCCCATTCACCCCAACATCCAGTTCCCTCAACCTTCTTGAACACTGCAGCCAGTTTCCTCTTTCTCCCAGTATGTTATTTTGCTATTAGTGGCTTGCAGTGCTGCAAGAAGCCACAGAAAAATTTTCTCATACCTGTAACAATTTAATTTTAAAATTTCTGTTTTGAAAGTACTTTAAACTCTTTGGTTATTTCACAGTATCCCCCCCCCTCCTCCAAGATGTGCTATTACAAACACCCATCTCACACCTACAGGAGGCAAGGACACATTGCTCCAGGCATCGTGAGGAGGAATGACAAAATAGGGTGTGATGCCCTCAAGCCACTGCCTGCAGGCTAAACTTCCTTATTTAATTCAATTATGTCAGAGTGATTTCATCAGACCCAGCCACCAAAACACATTCCTGGACATCTTGCTCTATTTCCCTGAAGGACCTGAAATAATGGAATTAAAATAATCTCTCAG